CAAAGTTCGAAAGTTTATCTGATTTCCAAGCCGCCAGCTGCGCATGAGATCTTTGAAAAACACCAATGTTTTACGCATGATTTGTAAATTTTATTACCATGAAGATGACGCACCAAAAAATATACCGATTTATTTTGATTATAGTTGAAATAAATTATGTTAAAGAACTTCCTGTATGAACCTGTCTCTTATACACATCTAGATGTGTATAAGAGACAGATAGATTAGCTCCACGACTAAATAGTACCGCTGCTGACTGCAAGTAATGAAAGCTACAAAGAATATATACCACCCTAATGTTTGCTCTAAAATTTTGGTAGAATTCGGCAGTGTTATCACAAACACGTTCGAGCTTTCTTTACGTGCCGAAATTACATTTTTTTAGCAATAATTTGGAAAGCAATCGTGAAAATTCGTGCTTGAGTTTGATATGTGAATATCAGTCAGAACCCACTTCCTTTAAATCACTCTTTACAGAGCATCAACATATACCATATGGTACAAATATAAAAGTATTATTCGTGAGTAGATTGTCGAAATTGTAGTTTAATTTAGAAAAGTTCGTCAAAAACCAGTCGAATGCCAGCAGAGCTAATAATACATTATTACTAATTAGTCAGACGATTATTACTGTGCTGTGTTTTGGTTCCGGCTAGTAAAAATAAGCGTTAATAACAATAACATCAGTGAAACAAGAAAACAACTTCATTCCGGCTGTACCTAAGCTATAATACCCTTCACAGTCGCATTTCGTGACAAGTAAGCAGTTACGTGGATAGAAAAGGACTTTTTCGAAATTTCCAGAACAAAATATAAAAAACCAAAAAAATCTATTTATAAATTGAATTAAAAAAACATTGATAGACTTTTTGAGAGTGCTTGAACGCGATTAGGTTGTTTATCAATTTCGATTTTTTTACTGAACGATTTTCCGAAAGGGCTCTTACAATAACCGCAAAAACCTCCATAAAAAATGATAAGAGATCATAAAMTCTTTATTTTAATACTATTCATGCTTAACTCAATCTCATTCTGCAACATCAACAATCGTCTAGTAGCCAATGACAATTCGCTGTAACGGAACCTTCTTTCTTTGAAAATTTCTGAACGAATCAGTTAAGAATTTATGTGAGCCTCTTATTTTTAATTGCTTCCAATTATGTCCTCGCGCGTTGCTCATAACCACATGAAGTGAAAATTAGAAATTGTTGTTATATACATATCAATTTCAGTATGTAACTACATACATGTAAACGTGTATGTGCTTATGGAAAAATTTTCCATTAATCCTGAAGGTGAAAAGCTGGTAAATTTTCAACAGTGAAATACACTTATTGATAATAATCAAAGTGCGAAGGAAACCGAGGTGTGATGTAGCCGATTCATCTATTTCCTTTGAAAATTCACATTTATAGATACATATATAACMTTGTGACAAAAAAGTACTTGGAAATTGTAATTTAAATTCCTGAGATAAATGATGTTTAAAACATTTTGCTAAGTTGGTAGGACTGTCCTTAATTACTATGCCAAATATGAGCGCGAGCCATGAATTTTACACAATAATAACTCACCGTCGCTTCGAGCCACGATTGAGAGCGAATTTAAAGCCAATAACGCAATGAATACCGTCGATCAACTACCGAATTCACCAAATGGTGGGGATTACTTTAAGGCGACAAAATAAATATTGAAGYATAATGCAATATTTTGCGTTTTATTTACAATTTCCGGGTGCTTTTTTGTCGTAATGTATCTAAAAATRTGTGTGTGTGTTTATACTATAAGCGCATCAATTTTGCTTAATCAAAAGATATTTGGACCGTAAAAGCAATAAAAAAGCACTTGTTGCATGGTCTGCTTTGCCAAATATTGCATGCCACGCTCGTGTTGTTAGCCCAGCTACTCCATACGAATACATACATATGTACAYACTTTGGCACTAAGTCCACYATTTTACAACTATTCGATAGTTKTGCTTTTATTATTAACAATTCGTTGTAGTTGTTAAGGTTTGACTTCATGTACTGAGAAACTTTTTGCACGAAATACAGTGCTGCGCAAAAAATGTGCAAGTGAAATTGAAATTTATATTCATTGTTAGTGAAATACTTTTTGAACTACAAATTTTGCGAAGAAGCTATATTAAGTAATGCAAAGAAAATATTGAGCAGTCGAAAAAGTATTTTCGTATTTCTAATCAAACTTCAACATTTTTTTTATATTTATAATAATAAATAAATAAGCAAATATGTACCAATTTGGTCTCGAGCACGCTTAAAAAAATTTCGTTTTTTTTTTATTTAAAATATGGTTCAAGCGCCTGCTTAAATAAAAGTCATATGTTTATTGTGCTGCAGTTATTTCGCACAACACTGTATGGCTTAAGTACTTGTGTATTTGTATATGTATGCCATTATTATGACCATATTTGCGCAAACACTTGACAGCTCAGACTAATTTACTGTTTTCATATTTTTATTTTCATTTATTTTTTTGTMGCTGCACCTTTGTTTGTGCGCGATATCACGCAATTTGCTCTAGCCTCAACTATTTTTCTATAGTTTTCTGCGATTACCACATATTTTCACCACACTCATCTCTGTGCTTGTGTTGTTATTTTGTCATCTTTAGAATAGAAAAACATGTCCAACAAAGTTCGAAAGTTTATCTGATTTCCAAGCCGCCAGCTGCGCATGAGATCTTTGAAAAACACCAATGTTTTACGCATGATTTGTAAATTTTATTGCCACGAAGATGACGCACCAAAAAATATACCGATTTATTTTGATTATAGTTGAAATAAATTATGTTAAAGAACTTCCTGTATGAACCGAAATATGAACTTAACCGATCTTCGTTGACTTTTACATACATATGCATATATTTTTACACATCTATACTCAAATATTACCATTCGATTAATGATAACTGTTTTTCCCCCTCTGTGTTTGCAGAATTCCAATCTCCCCGCTAATGCCTCACCATTCCGTCGGGCCTGGGGTCAATCGTCCTTTCGCACGCCACGTACCGACAAACGCGCCCTCCAACAGCTGCAATTGCAGCAGCAATCCGGCCAGCATCAGCATCTCAGTCCACTAGTACGACGCTCCTCATCGATGACCGCATCCGACAATGACGTCTATATCAAGTCCATGCATCACACCGACTGCCATGATGAKCTCAARCAGACGCATAGCCAGCATCAGATAGCGACGTCGGCGGCAGTGGCAGCCGCTACGCTTACAACAACAAACRCCACTAGCAATAGTGGCAACAGCAAGGTTAGCAGTTGCATAAATCAGCTAAAGATACCACAGCTGAAGACCACGTTGGCACCAGCCGCAGATAACGGTGTTGGTGGTGTGACRGCTTGGGGTACAGCCTTTGAACGGCTGCTTGAAGACCCTGCTGGCATGCACACCTTCGCCGAGTTTTTGAAGAAGGAATTCTCCGCCGAGAATATATACTTTTGGACCGCTTGCGAGCGTTATCGTGCTCTAGAAAGCAGCGATGGGCGCGCTACACAAGCGATGGCCATCTTCTCAAAACATCTKGCTAATGGCGCTTCGGAGCCAGTGAATGTGGACTCCCAGGCGCGCAACCTCACACAAGAGAAGTTAGATAGCGCGGAGCCGGATATTTTYGCACCCGCACAGAAGCAAATCTTTAATCTAATGAAATTTGACAGCTATCAGCGTTTCATACGTTCCGATATGTATAAGAGTTGCGTAGAGGCGGAGGAGAAGCGSCAACCATTGCCGTATAAAGCGGAAGATTTGGATGAATTGCTGAGAACGCCCGCACATCAGCCAGTCACAGTGAGCAGCATCGTATCGAAGGTGAGCACATTTAAAGCTTCGTTGCCGCAAAAAATATATTATATTCTGCTTATTTATTTATTATTTACAGCTCAAGAAATCGGCTAGCAATGCGGAGGATCGTTGCCGCAAGAGCTTGCTACCATGGCACCGTAAAACGAGCAGCAGCAAAGCGCCACGTGACAACGCCGACGCGCCAGGTGAATGCAAAGCCACAACCAATAAGCTGGTGCCACTCTCCAGTCATTCGATGAAATTGGCAGCAGTACAGAACTCACAAAACGACATACACAGCTCCCGTTCTTCGCTCTCCTCATTCGATGGCTTGTCCGGTGCATCAATTTTACCCGGTACCTGTCGCGTCATTTTGAGTGATGCCTCCACGACAATGGTGCAAGCGCGCGCCAACGAAACAGTTGGTCAACTGGTCGAGCGTTTGTTGGAGAAACGTGGTCTGTGCTATCAATATTACGATGTAGTGGCGAAAGGTACTAMCAAATCGATTGATTTGCAAACTTCATCACAAACACTCGTGGGCAAGGATGTGCTAATTGAGCAACGCGTCGCCTTCAAAATGGATTTGCCCGACCGCAAGGTAATCTCTGTGAAAAGCAAGCCCAAGAAACAATTACAAGAGGTAGTGTGTCCCATACTGCATAAATACAACTATGACATAGAAGCAGTACAGGTGGTGATGCGCGAAACTCAGGAGCCAGTTGATCTATCGCTAACTGTAACACACGCGGATGGTCAGCGTTTGCAAGCGGTGTGGTTGAAGCCACCACCACTACTACCTGGCAATGACTATCAAAATGGCAATGGTTGCGCGGCCAAAGTAGCAAAGGCTTCAACATCGACGAAAAGTGTGTCCTTTCCGACCGCATTGAAGCAARYAAACGGTGGCGCCTTGCGCTCGACCAGTAGCAGTAGCATTCCAGTATCGCATTCGACACAAAGTGCCTTGGATGAGATCACCAACAAAGTATTTACCGAACTAATGCAAGTGAAAGTAGAAGCAGCCAGTGCGGAAAAAACGCAGCCGCTGACCACGCACAATGACAAAGTTAACGAACACGCTTCGCTTAAGGTGAGTTAGAAAACATAACCCGAAGTGAAGAGTTCACAATAATATAAATATTTTTTTGTTTAGTCTGACGACTGCGCTTCGGAGACTTCATCAATTTTCGAACGCATACGTCGTCGTGACAACAATATTCAAAGCCTCAAACTAAAGCTSAAGAAACGCTCCACGAGCAGTCAGCATTCGGAGGAAACCAACCAAARCAGCCACACAACAACTAGCAATGGTCATTTGGCTGCACCTACGGCAGTGAGCGCTGCATTGTTGGACATAAAGAAACCAATCATAGCTAAATTAAAAGCAGGTGTGAAACTACAAATGCCCGAGCGAGTAGCTGAAAATCAAGGTAAGTAAAAATCAAAAGTGAAGCAAAATTACTTTTTTAATTTTCAATAATTTTTTTTTTTAGATGAACTACTCGAAGGTCTGAAGCGCGCACAACTAGCACGCTTAGAAGATCAACGTGGAACTGAAATTAATTTCGAGCTGCCTGATTTTTTAAAGAATAAGGAGAATCTCAACGCCTCGAAGTTGCGTAAGGCGCGCGCTAATCTCAGCCCCATAAACAAACCACCCGCACACATTTCCGTTGCAGCTACAGAGGAACAACCCTCACAAACAGCACCACAACCATCACAGCAAGAACGTCCACAACCCGCACCACGTCTATCCATAACCAACAAACTAAAAGCCAACGCTACAGTGTCATCTGCGAAGCAGGAACAAGATGCGTCTGTACAACTCAACAGTGTTGAGGCTCGCCAAACCCARCYCACGACGCCGTTATCAGTGAATTCAACTACCACATCATTAGAATCTGAATACGCTGCATTAGTGGGAACTAACAGTTGCAAAGGTCCACCACCATTGCCGCCTAAGCCGAAAGTGTTGCCCATTAAGCCATCGAATTGGGGYGCTGCAACATGTATGTCCAACTCATCGACAGCTTCAACGCCCACAACACCTTCAACGAGTATACCAACATTACCCACACCTTTGCCTAAGAACTATACAACAGTGGGCTTGACCAATAGCGTTACAACCATTGCGGAAGACGTTCCATTGCTGTTACATGTTGCGAGCAAACATTTTGCAGGAAATGAAATCGCCCCACGTAAGACCCATTTAAGCATCGCCGCTGAGCAGCCTACATCGGCGCGATGTGCTTACCTAGAAGAGCCGAGTAGCAGCTTCGTTTGAGAAAGTGCGCAAAAAAAGAGTGAAAGCGAAAGTGATGTATTTATTATATAATGGCTTCCACACCCAATTCCATTCTCCCCTTTGGCCAATCCCTTTTCCACGTGTTTTTTAAGTGATAATAAAATAATAAATATTATAATTTTATATAGCGTATACAGTTACATATTATGTACAACATGCACACTTAATGTTTATTTATTTTGCATCTCTCATTTCCACTGATATTATTTTAATAATTAATTGTAAATAATCCAATTATCATATTTTAATTTATAAAATATATGCATATGTAGAATGTGTCTACTTATGAATGTAGAGGAACTTCAAAATTCAATATTTTAACAATTGTTGAAAACGGTATATAACGGATATTTCCCAGATTCTAATTAGACATTAAATATAAGGTAAAATTCATAAACAAAAATATTTTTGTAATAATAATTGAACAATGTAGCCTGCAAAAATACAAATAAAACCACAATTTGTAAAAAAAAAAAACAAAAAAACTAGTTTCATTTTACAATGCTTATTTTTTTTTTTGTTTTTGTAAAAATTTAAGCCGAAAGCAGCTGCTCGCATACACAATTACCTGAGATAATTATGAGATAATAAATTTCCTATGCAAAAGTCAGAGAACATGCAAAAAAAATATATACATATATATATAAAATATTGGCAGKGGCCTACAYTTAATTATAGCGCCTAAATATATGCCAGATAATCGTGTACGGTTGTGGTATGAACGTACTAACTAAACTTACACGCCTAARAGTATGCAATGAAATTTTAATAAATGTTGAGGACTTTGTTTCTTGACAAGTTATATTCAAATCATTGGATTCTTACTTTGTAAAATTACAAAGTATTTTTAATTAGTACATTATTTTAGTTCAGTAACAACTTTTATTGTATTTTTCGATAATCCAACATTTTGATTCTTAAACCTGCCAACAGATAGTACAATCAAATGGACGGACTTGCGGTCGTCGATTTAACCGCTTTGTTTTCGTTTACAGCCGACACTGGCGCGGCCGTTTCAATATTATCCAAATGCTCTTGATTTTGTTTTTCTGCACCTGCTTCCAATTTCTTATCACCTTCAGCAAGAAGTTCCACTGCCTCTTCGGGTTCTTCAATTACGCGATAGGTAATTGGTGCCGGTTCTTTTGCTGGCAACCAATCTGGTATGATTTTATCGTGTAAACGCCACTTGCCATACTCATTGGAGATATGCTTTTCAAAGACTACATATTCCAATACATCCTTAGCTAATATTTCGCTACCATGCATCAAACGACCAAAGCGATCGTAAATAGCCAGCATTTGCTGTGTATGAAAACGCACAGTAACTTGTGCGTATAAATTTTCTTTACTAACGATATCAGTAACACGAGCATGCACTAGACGTGGTGGTTCCAACGATTGTAAGAAACGCCAATGAATGGTCTTATCACGTACATTATGCATCATTTCTGGATAACAACGTTCGGTTACGAATTCACGTAACTGATGTTTATTTTTCGCTGCCATTTGATTATGCGCTGCTATATAAATATCCTGCGCTTCACTCGCGAAGTCATCAGTGTTGAATTCCTCTTCATATGAGCGTATTTTACGTACTGCCATAACACTTTTCGATTTCTTTTCGAGAAATTCAAGCTTTTGTTTGGCACCCACTGAAGAAATGAAGGACTTTTTGCCATCACCCTCTGGCGGTACGTAAGCTTCAAAAATACCGCCGGTGCAACTAATATGGAATGGCCGTTCGAGCCATGGACGAGGTGGTAGCACACCACGTTCCTTTAAACGGCTACGTATTTCTTCTTGCGTCAAATCACCAGGTTTCTCATGAAAATTAGGTAAGTCCAACTTAACAAATTTTTGTGCCCGTAGCTTTTTGAATTTCGGATTCCAGTGTTTTGTCTGCCTGTGACGCAATTGCTGAGACTGCATTTGCAATAATGCTTGCATTGCCGGAGGTTGTACAAGCTTTTATGAGAGAAACAAAATATAGGTATGTTTAAAATGGGGTTATGACACAATGTTTTTTTAAAAGACAGAAATTAGTGCACTTGTTTACCTGCAACATTTTAATACCACAACGAGCTGAGGCTGCGAGCTCCATTATATAGWTATTTCAAAGTTGGTATAATTAATTTAAAAGAACTTTTATTCAAGAAAATTAACTGCACAACACCAATTATATATGTACTTCACGTCCAATTCCAACTCACATTCGACTTTTGCACAAGACATCAGATGTCAAAATCAGCTGTAGGTTAGTGTTGTATATTTTGAAATTGTACTTGTAACGTACATGATTAGTTCGTACTCACTAATGAATTGATTTTAATATAATAAGAAATTAATAAAATGCCTACTTTTCTTTAATAAATACTTATATAAAGTTGAAATATAAGAAGAATTCGCTTATAAAACAAATTTAAAATYTAGTAACTATATCTACAGTGAATAATTAAAATTCGCAAGATGAAGCATCGGTGATTATTGATTTGTGCATTCACAATTTTCAGTTCAAGTACGCAGCAATAAAATTTGTGTGGCTCCAGAAAAATGTAAAATATTGTAAATTGTTATAAATAAATTAATAAAAACTATTGTGAAAAGATAGAGAAAACCCCACTCTTATTTGTCGAGATAAAATTCATCACGGAAACATGGATTTCCCACAGCAATTGGAAGGTAAAGAACAAAGGCTGCAACTTTAAAAGTGAATATCGACTTGAATGAAATGAAAAAGTGGGTGGGCTAGAGGCAGCGGGTGGGTCCAAGCACATAATAGCAACAGTAATTCTTGTTGGCTCCTGTAATGGAATACGTAAATCTTATATCGAAAAGAAKGGGTACACAATCCCAAATAACAGATCATTTGTTATTGTTTGTGTGTTACTCGCTGCCGGTGTGGTGCAAGTTGATATTGATTTTTGCGAAGAGTGCAATTGTAACCAAAATAAATTCACTTTTTTTTAATTCGTAATAATGCTATTTATGTTTTTCTTTTATTTAAGATCATGTTACAATAATTGGCTCGAATTGGATATATTTTCAAAACCTTCAATAAAAATATTCATCCTATTAAACCCGCAAATAAATTGGATATACATACAAAAGTGTATACATTTTTCCTCTACATTATTCTTTTAAACTGCATATAGAAATTTTAKTGGAGCGACCACCGTCCTCTTTTGATGTTATAATGGAATCGCCGTTGTGTGCTGCCGGTGATCTGGATCGAAAGGGGCTACCAAGTAAATCTGTCAGCAAATACGACAATTCTTCGACGCTTGACAAAATGAACTCGAGCATGAATAGTACATTGGATGACACAACGCCAAGTGATTCTGGAGTGCAGCTGCTTGATTCTGAATCAAGCGAATTCATGGTTGAATCGATTACCTCACAAACTGGTTTCGAATTTGAAGAAATAAAATCAGGCAATGTACAAGAACATAGCGCTAATCGTGAACAAGYTGCTGTGGTTGCAACTCCAATGCCAGCAGTTAAAGAACGTCATTTCGTTAGCGCAGTATTTGAGGAAATTGTAGCTGGCTTTGACACAAACTTCAATGTTACAACAACCGACACAACGAACGATTCAGAAGCGAATGTTCCCATTGAAGATGCAATGACTACAAGCACCTGTTCCACCTTTGATACTACCGAAAATATTGTATACCGGCGTAAAGCGCGCAAGACGCCCATTACACCTAAAGCACCCAAAAAACGAGTATCCTTTCATGAAGATATACTYAAAAATACTCGCACCGACAATATACATATTGAACATGGCTTCATTACATATAAGTCTGGCCGTAAAGCGCTACAACATATAGGAGTATCAGGACGTTACTCTTGGTGTTCGGAAGGAGATGCGGGTGCGGCAGGTGGCGCAGCTGCACAATCAGAACTGTGTGCACATGCGCATGAAAATGAAGCGGATCAAAATAGATGCGAGCAAAGGCGTCGATGTGTGGTTTATCGTAACGCATGTTCRGATGTACTAGATTATGGCAACTCGGATGTATATGATATGGAAGAGCAAAAAGCATTACAATATGATAATTCTGGTGTTTTTGAATATATGCCAAAAGTACGTGATGGTGCTGCTGACGGTGCTGGTGTAGGTAATGGTGCTGAGGGTCAACAGGTGTTGTATCGRTGCTCTTGTTCTAGCTCGAATTCCAGTTTGGACTCGGACGAAAATGATAAAAACTCGAATAGACAACAATATGGGCAAGCGAAGAGCAGTTCATGCGACTGTATTGGCATGAGTAACGCGAACAATAATATAATTGGTGAGTCATTAATTTGATTAAGATGATTTGCTTTACTAATAGTTGAACGGAAACTACATAAATACATATATAATATAACAGTCGCACATGGTAAAAGCCAATTGGAGACAATTTATGTTTCATTTTAAAACTAGAAAGTAAAAATAAAACTTTCCCATAAATATTTTATTCCAACGGGGAATTAAATGTTATGGGTTCTGTAAAATTGATTATTTATCTTATATGTAGAATTTGTTTTTTGTAAAATATCATTGTACACAACTAATTGATTTAAAACTTTCATCCACCTTCAGGTGATAACTGTTACTTCTCTGAACCGAACATTGATAACTTAAATGAAAATAATCCAAAAAAATCGGTGTGGAACAAAGAGAAAAAACCAAAATCAAGTTGCTTAAAGAAACCCAAATGGAACACCAATATCATCTACGAACAAGATCTGAGTACACGCGTCAAAAAATTTAACGTGCACGATATGAATCAATTAATCGACAACAGTAGCAAAATGATTATTGGTTCACTAAAAAGTATATTCACAATGCCGCTTCCAGAGCGCGGTGTACCCGAAGGTTCTGAAGATCTCCAGTCAGTTGTCGAATGCGTACCAGAATTGGAACAAGCCACCCCGGAGCATAAAGCGAAACCATTAGCTGAATCATTCTTTGCACCGCCTTCTCCACCACTTAAGCAAAAACCTTTTCTAAGTAAAAGTCTTGATGGCTCTAAAAAGTCGCAGGGCGTGAAGAAATTCGTACACAATGTCGACGAGCAATTACGTCGTAAGAATGACGAAGAGATATACGCCCCGACACGTCAAAGTAGCGCAGAAAAATCAGCTACTACGGAGCCAACCGGTCGAGTGTTGCAGAGGCAGGAAGAAATCGATTCAGACCAACGCCCCGATCTAGAGTATACCTACACACAAAAMCAACTCGTTGATAAACCTACAGATCTTGACGCAACTAAGCAGCTGCCGGCGGCTGCCGAGCAACCGTCACAATTTCGCAACAAATTTATTGTTAATTGTGAGAGCACAGTTTTCGAGCACACAGGTGTGTCATATTGTTACGACACAAATGAAATGCTCGAGCTTGATTTGGACACAGCTAGTAATACSCCTGGAAGTATTGCATCGAGCTTGTTACTTGAAAGTGAAA